GTTTGCGACGGTGACTGTATGCCCTTCATTGCTGGGATATCATGTGCGGTTTCGACGGTAAGGTGGGTGCCAGATCGTGATCTGTTGTGCGGTGGCCGTGCGGCAGTATCTACACGCAATGGCCGCTGATGATCGTCCCCCACAACTGTGCCGTCCTCGTCGGAAGATCGCTGCTGGTGGTGGGACATGTTGCTGTCCATGTCGTATGTCGGCTCTGGCCGCTCATAATTCGGTGTACTCATAGTGGAGAGTGGCGCCCAGACCAAGGTTCGATAGGAAATCCGATCGAGAGGCTACCTTGGGAGAGCGATGAGGTAGCGACTGTGTTTTGATTTTGCGGCGATTTTTTGTAGATAACGCAAAATGCGATTGCTGAAACAATGGTATCCTTTTTTACGCCAAACCAGCAGTCAATGGCTTGCGCTCGCCCTTCCGGTGGTCCAGGGTCAAACGCGAACTGCTGCAACGGGATGACGTCAAGCTCGGTGCCGACGTATCCAGAAAAGATTTTAGCGAGTGATGAAGAAAAATGGCGGTTCCCGTAGTGATTAATGTGCGGTAGAGGTGGTAAGAAAAGAGAAGAAGACAACACTGTGGGATGGACAGCAGCGATGTTAGCAAGTGAGATGTGGAGCTCGCCCGGGGTTAAAGGAGCAGGAGCAGCGCTGGGCCAGGGATTATTTTTGGGGACACCCGATCTGCGATTCCTGAAATTCGACGCCAACCCTTCGACAGTGACTGGCGCATAGAAAAATGGGTCATGGAACCGACGGCGGACGTGTTATGGCCATGGCAAGCACACCGGGTGGGCCGCGTCGCTTTGTCTAGAATCTCTGTTGGGACCGAATCTGGTACACAAAGCTGTAAGGATACGCGTCTGCGCCAACCACAGCCATCGAATATACTAGAATGGCCCTCAACCACGCCTGCGGCTATCTATCTCGGTCGAAAATGCCATGACAGCGGCGTCGCATACGCCGTTAGGTCTGCCAGCACAAGCTCTTAGCGACAGCCACCGACGTCACGCAGCATCGCAATGCAGGTCCCGGACGCTTCCTGTGTCGGTCCCTCAAAACTCTGCAAAGTGTGTCTATTTTGAGCGTCTGCAGTCGATGAAGGTCGCGCGACAGGGCGAAAGTTGGAGAGAGGTGCGGCTCGGCCGCCCAGTCGGTCGTGACGCGTTCTAACTTTCTCAACCGTTGTTCTTTGTCGCCTTTCACATGCCTAGGAAGCCTTATCCTTAATTTCCAGGGTCATTGCCGTTATCGCGGAAGGCTGTTTCAAACCGCCCGCGGCGTTCGAGAAAAGCTTGTCGCGTGCCGATCCTAATGCCGCCCCTGCATACCAAGGCTCTCCTTGGATCGCGTCGTGGGGGTCAGGATCGATGCACAACACTGACAGCACCAGAGATCTCGACTCCAGCGTGTCAGCGTCCAGACCCGCTGTATCGCACTGTCTCCATCTTTCTCCCCAGATGTGATCCGACGATGTGCGCAGGATGAGCGTTCCCTGTGCTGCATCAGTTCCAGACATCGGATAAGGCGGCAACTACCTCACACCTCGTCGTTGCACCAATTTAACGACATGGCGGACGGAAAACACTCCACAGCGTCTCCATATTGACGAGTCGTGATTTCAACAGCGGACGTGTCCTCGCAGGAAGAAGTCTAAGCGATACGTCCTCAGCAGTTGTGGTGGAGGAAGGCCGCTCGGCTCGTACAAAGCCCGATTTCCGCCTGTACTAAACGTGGTGGGTCGCTCTGCAGTATGTCATAACCCGTATCCTGTGCGGAAGCGTCTTTGGTAACCTGCTGTGATGTAAGGTAGAACAACTCTTAGTGCACTACGTCAGAGCAGCATTTTTCCAATTGATCGCCGCGGAGCTTTTGTTGCGGTGTCGACTTGGGTGCTTCAAGATTAGTGAACGGATGATGGCTAAGGACCTCACTCCAACCCGTGAACCCTTGAAGACATCATCATCAAGCAAGAATCAAAGAGGTATGCAATAAACCTTCTCTTAGAACACAGCTATTGTTGTCTCTGCTCCCATTGATGATCAATATACTATATTCGCCATATACGTATTCGACAGCTGTGTATATTGCGAAAGAGCGTGCAAATGTATATGTCCATAAGACAAGTGAACAGTATAAACTATCTACGACATCATGTCTAATGGAAGATCCGGTAGGCTTCTCGAGAATATGATATGCTTGTTCGCTGTCGTGAAAGGAATTGTGGCATTCAACGGTCGAGTGCCATGGCTTGCCGAAGCACCGTTGTCCCGTGCAGTATGGGACGATACACTACTACATCAGGCAATATCCGACTTCCATCGATTGTAGCGTCCCTGTCTGTGAAAAGCAAAACTCTCTTAGTAGTCCGGTTCAGGGTGGAATTGGCGAGGGAACCCTCTCCATCCAAAATTCGCAGCAATCGATGGACGTGAGACAACTGCCTATCTGAGCATGCATTCATTTGGTCTGCTTTCTGTTTGAGCAATGAGTGGACAGGCAATGTTTGAAAAGGTGTAAAATATCGCAATACCGCGGTGAAGTGGATAAGAAGAGCCTGCAGCACAAGAGAAAGCCGAAGGGCGAAATGAAGCTCATGTCCTTCATGCTACATCCTGCAGGAATCTACACCCTAGCGAACCTTCCCGATTGGGCATGAAGTAATTTTGTTTACAAACCTCATGTCTATGATAGATACATTTAGGGTAGAGAAGGCAGGAGTCCGCTAGATACACTCACTATACTACAGGGAAGTGCGAAGGTGAGCATTGAGGAGTGAGGTGAGCGGACTCCATTCACACCTGCTATAATCCACGCTCACAGGTTGTTACCTAATGCAGTAACTGTATGCTGGCAAACCTCATATATCTTAAAGCATGTAGGAGTAGAGACGAAGGAAACGATCGATGTTGTGATGTTGTTTGGAGACTGCTCATCCCGATTGGGCTAAAGTCGCGAGGACATCACGTCATACCAGAACGAGGAAGGCGCGACGCGAGCTCTCAGATGCGCATCTTCCCCGCAAACTCTCATGACTTTTGCAACCACACAGACACAATGTTCAGCTTACCAAGAATATCACTGCCTTCTTTTCTTCGCGCTGGCGAAGGCACGCATCTTACCGTCGACCTCCCCTCAGTAGAAATCCACGACATCGAGACCTCGGCAGAGAAGCGACCGCGAACTCTCAAGCACCTACTCAAAGCGAACCACGCCAACTACGCAATCATATACCACAATCTCACTTTTCACAACCATACACCGCACGTATGCTGCTCCTCCTGTAAAGGCTGTAGCTGCTAAGCATGTACCCTAGATCCTGGGATCGGCTTACCTTCTGGGAGGCACCGCAGAGCATCTGAACGAGATCTACGAGAGGGAGGCGGAAGTGCTGGAACCTTGGCATGATGCGCCTGGTGAGATAACAAAGGACGACTGGCGAGAGTTTCTGGGGAAGCGCGAGTAAGTAGCTGCATGATGGTGCGATTCAATAGGATCAGGGTCAGTCGCTAATGGGCAGCCAGATACCAACGCGCATTCATTGATTTCTTCGAGGATCAGCTCGTGAGCAAGAAGTACGATGTTGAGGAAGTTCTTGAGGAGTTCTTGCTCAAGGGCAAAGAACCGCTGATCAACGGCCTCATTTCAGGACGTAAGCTTGCGCTCTTCCAAAGCCCGAATATCGCTAATCCCATGCAGTTGCGCATCCTCTCATTCATCTCGGCTACGCTTACGAGCTCAACTCCACGACCGTTGCGATCGAAGCCCTAGCGATGGGCTCTTGCTTCTACAGTCCGCTACATAAATACATCGACGATCCAAAATACACGAAGCCCAGCCCTCACGAGACGACTGGGGACCACACCGGGCTCATCGATTTGTTGGACAAGGTGCGCAAGGATAAGCGCTTCGATGGACTGTACGATCACCGCAGCGGCGACATCACGAAAGTGCTGGAGGAGCGTGAAGAAGCCTTTCTGGAGTACTGGAATGCTTGGGAAATTACCGCCCCGAACGAACAGTTCCAAGCTGCTCAGGAGGTCGGCTTGGGGCTTTTGACTGGAACACCACGACCGGAGAAGGGAAAGTACGACTTCTTCCTCGTACATGTGCTTACAAGCTCTCACGCTATTCGCATCCTTCTCCCGTTGATACCGGCCAAGTTCCATGTCAGTCTTCTACGGCAATGGTGGCTGTTCGCGCTAGCTGTATACATTGCCCAGACGAGGCCAGAGATCGATATGGGTAAAGCGATGACTGGTGACGACAGCCAGAAGAAGACTTGGAAGCATGTTGTGGACAAGGCCTTGAATGGACCACATTCGACTGATGCGCATTACGTCAAAGGTATGTTACGAGCCTCTTGCCGTACCGCGGTGTTCTTGACTGACATGACGCAGCATTGCGTGCGTTGAAGGTAGCGGAGGAGACATGGGAAAAGGGTAGTGACAAATCAAACCACTGGCTCAGTGCAGCAGTCAAGTTCGCGGACGAGTTTGAGGGCTGGGGAGGGTTTGGAACAGCGGAAGACGAAGCAAAGATGGGATATCCTGAGAAGCAGTAAGATTTACTATACAAGATGGCAAAGATAATGTATGCGCAGGTCTGGCTAGGTGGAACGTTCTCAACCTGCTTGACAGTGACGCACTCACGTGGTCTGACGTGAAATTGGCGCAGAACTGATCATTCACCACCTTCTGCCTATTGTCTGCTGGCTCTATCTCATGGCGACAGTCACCATCATTATCCATAGCACGCAATAAACTCTAGCACCTGACCGCAAGGACTACCTACTTCTCTCTTCTGGAAAACCGTGAGAACCAACCTCCGCCATTCAGCTGCATTCAACCCTACGATGAATCCAAATCCCCTTACCACCGCTCCAGCTCTATGCACTCAATACAAAACTTACTGGCGAGAGTGCGGCCACGAGTACAGCAACGTCGGCGATGTAGTCCCCTGCCAAGCAGCTGCGAACAACCTCCCATGTGCATGTAGGACAAATCTGAGAATCTTGCGCGACACGACTACCTCTCGAGGCATAGATGGTCATACTAGAGTGTTGAGCGATGGAACTGAGACTGGGTTTTGCAGGCCGTGTAGATTGGAGAACGAGAGAGAGAGGAAAAAGGAGGCGAAAAAGACGAAGAGGAAGGTGAGCAAGGCAGAGAAGGGTAAGAAGGTAGACGGCGGTAGCAAAGTCAGTGGAATGGATAGTGAAGGTAGAAGCGGATTCGGAGGTGGGTTTGGAAGAGAACGGAATGTCAGGGTGGAGAAGAAATATGTCAAAGTGGATGGAGGTGGAATTGGGAGTAAAGATGACTGGGAGGTGGGGATGCCGCCGAAGACGATTGAGCAATACCAGAAGGATTTGAAAGAGCTGAGCGAGAGTGTTGGAAAGGGTAAAGGAAAAGCTACGAGCCTTTGAGGGGGGTTTAATATGGAGTGGTAGTTTGGTAGCTGGTAGAGAGGTGACTAATGGTTCGATATGTAAGGGTCCTCGTTGGTCAGCCGAGTATGAAACCATGGTCGACGCCCTCGCTCTTCGAATATTTTTTCTATCTCAACTTAGACATATAAATACATGCCCGCAAGCATTCTACTTGCTTCGCACATTTCTACCACACACACCACAGGAACATCACCCCAAGACGATTTCGCAACACCGCTTTAGAAGATGTCCAACATGTCACCCCAACCACTGTGGCCAACGCGCCCACAAGCAATCCAAGTAGATCTCACCATGACGCGAGAGCTCCTCCGCGTCTTATCTCGCGGTGGAAATGGCCATCCTCTCCACCACGACTCCCTCTACCAGTCGATCTACTTATCTAGCGCGATGGCCTCACAACTTCTTTACGATTGGCCAGTCCGCCAGGCTCGCGCGCTCGCCCCTCTCTTTCTCAGTCTCAAACAGAGATATGAATTACAAGCGAGGCACTACCGAGCTTGGAGGATGTTGGTCACTAAGGGCCTTGCAACAGAGGAAGCGATTTGTCTTCCGATTGATGAGCGCAGCTCGGTGAATAAGTCTGCGGTTTGGAGGTTGCTTGACAGACTCTCTGCTTTCCCGAAGTTTGGGGCGGTGGATATATTGGAGGTGGGAGAGTTCAAGTGTCGATGCCAAAATTGCTCTAGAATGGCATTAGCGTTGAAAGAAGAGAGGGGAGATGTGTTTGTGCAGCCAGGGTACTGGTTTGCGGCGGTCGTGTTGAGGTCAAATTGCGACATTGAGAGTGTAATGGAGGCACTGAAGACATGGGGTGGGTTTGGAGAGTGGAATGCGGGCCATACATGCTATGTGCCTGATGAGAAGTTGAATGAGGAGCGGGTATATGTTGAGAAGGTCGAGAAAGAGGAAGACAGCCTTGAAAGAGGAAACATAGGCATACTGTTCGGAGAGGAGATCGAAGAGGCAGAGGAAGAGGAGGGGAACGACGTTGAGCATACGGAAGATATTGATGACCTATCTCGACTACAAACCGAAATCGACAGTGAGGACGAAAGCTCCACAGGCATCCAAACACCGCCTTCGACGACCGAGGAGCTTGTAGATCCCACACTCACGCTGTCACCCATACCAACACCAACGGATCCCTGCCCAGAACACTGTCCCTCCCGCCGGCGTCGCCTCCGCGATGACATCCGCGATCCGAAATATCCATCGTGTACATACTACTGCCACAATCCACACGCTCCTTTCGAATTCGAGCCAAGCGGCGAGCAAGTAGGCTTCTGGCTTCCCCATGGACTGCAGGATGAACAAGCACGGAAAGAATGGACAGTGGTGACTAATAAGAGAATGAGGGACTTTAGGATGGCATGGAAAAGTCTGTTTGGGAATGACTGTGCGGGTGTGAAGGCAACTATAGAGGTTCAGCGGTGTGCGTGGGATTTCATTAGAGCGGATTATGGGTATGGTGAGCGGAGGAGGTAAATATTTGCTTCTGAGGTGCTTTACGTATGTAATGAGTCGTAGAATACGATAATTGAATGTCGCGCAATATGGCTCGGCCTGAGCATGTGTTACCTAGTGTTCAGTCCACTGGAAAACCTAGCCAAGGTTGCGTGACGAACTCCCCGTCTCCGTCAAGACTCTCATTTCAGGCGAGATGTTTGCAGCTACCGACCGAAGAATATCGAAATCGTTAAGTATCTCGGGTAGCGTGCTAAATGGAGAGACTCTCGAGGTCGATTCGGAGCTCGGTAGCGCGTGGCATGGCCGGCCGCCTGCAGAATTTATCCGCCGGACATGAACATGCTGTTGTGTACATTCACACCCTGCTAGGATGTGCCGATGTGGTGGTTCAAAAACGTCTCCTGGTGTATCGTAGCACTCGATCGTTGCCCCTCGCTGCCCAGGTGTGCTCTAGCTCGATTAGTGTCTTGGCGTCATGTCATCCTCACTTCGGCCGAGTTCGCATCTCCAGTCTCAACTCGCCCTTTACAACACCCATCTCAACACTTGTATACCATCATCGCCAGCATTACCTAGATATACGCAGAACTTTTCCCGGTGGCTCGATCCGTTCTTGTGAAAAGGAGCATGTCCCTCCGTTCAGCCGCAAGCCAATCAGCCATGTTGCCAGGGTATGGGTGCAGTCACAATCTCAAGAGGCCTGCTTCGCGAAGTCAAAGACCCTCGCTTTCTGACAGGCGAGCGTCACGCCATCGCGCTACAGGCGAACAGAGGCTTTCGTCCGACTAACCGACAAGGAAGACCTAACACCAATGATGCGGACCGCTCCCGGCACTGCTTTAGTCTGAAGATCACATCCCAGCCTCGCCCTAAGACTTGATACTTCCTGCGTACTTGATCAAACCTGTATTGCGCCCCGAGGCTTTGGGTAATCGCCGTCTAACCTAACTACTGGACTCGAGCAGCCGTTCAACAAGCGGCGCGCAACTTGAACCACCTCCGGATCAGTCAACTCCTGAGACAACGCCGTACACGTGGCTGTGTTGGTGTGCCCACTCCACACCAGTTGCAGCACACGTACGCCATCACAACGATAGGCCACATGCTGTGCCTCTTCGAGCTCTCCGCAAGGTTGTAAGGCTGCGCAGGTAGTTCCTCGACTGCCTCAGCAGAAACACAGGAGGTGTCGAGCGTTCTGTGAGGTAATGAAAAGCTCTTTTAGCCGGCATGCCAGCCGCTTTATGCTCAACGCGACATTGCCACTATGGTCTCCCGACTCCTATACTTTTGCGTAGCTGCATGTGGCACAGCTCTGTTGTGCTACTCATCACGAGAAGAACCGCACTGGCGGGCCCGTACCTGATACGCTCACCCTGCTTCTTGCTACCCGCGCCGCTCACCCCACATTCCATACAACATGTCCGTTCTCGCAGTAGTCGTCGATCGGCCTCTGCTCAACAGCCTTTCTAGCGTATGTCTAAGACGATGTATCAAGTCATTGTGTCGGACTTGAATTGGACGCCCATCGTTCAGATCATCACTTGGTTCACTCTCGTAACCAGTCTCCTGGCGTTCTTGACGCATGCCGGCATCAAGTTCTACGTCTTTCGGACGTTGACGATCGAGTCATGGCTGGTACTTGCAGCCTTGGTAAGTGGAGCATCAACATACTCAGCAACATTTGCTAATGAATGTCGCCAGATATTTTGTGTCGCACAATCTGTCGCCGTATTGCTGCAAGCACACTACGGTTTCGGGAAACCGATCGCGACTTTGAGTGGATATCAGATTGAGTCGAATCTCAAAGTAACGTCCTACCTCCGCTTGAGTACCTGGTCCGGAGCGCTGATATGAGCGAAGAGCGAATATGCCGCAATGATACTGTTCATTGTCTCCCTCGGCTTCTCGAAGCTCGCTGTCGTAGCATTCGTCCATCATCTTACTCCATCCGAACTCCACCGCAGAATCAACTTCGGCGTCTTGGCTCTTATAATCTTGTGGCTGGTTTGTTCTGTGTTGGTCGCAGCATTCGAGTGCCGGCTGCCCCGGCCATGGGACAGAACATTGGATCGATGCATCGACCGTGTCAGTAATCAACGCACATGCGTAGTCGGCTTCTGGCTGACGTTAGGCAGTTGACCTGGTGGAATACCGTCTCATGCTTCAATATCATGACAGAGCTCGCGATCGTGGCCTTGGAACTGGGCATAACAGCGCAACTTCACATGCGACGGCAACGGAAGGCGGCGGTCATGGCTTTGTTCTCATGTCGGTTACTGTGAGTACGAAGCCCTACACGTATCTCAAATACTGACAAGCTACACAAGAGTTCTTGTTGCTGCTGCGGTTCAGCTTAGCTTCTTCAATCGCGACAGCACCAATTCCGCTTTGAAAGACGATCTAACACTCGGTTACTGGCGCTCATCTATCTGCAACCAGATTGTGCAATGCTTTGCTATCGTCACTACATGTCTTCCGTATACCAAGCTTTTCATGGAGGGTTTTGAGTCGGGACTTATGCGATTGGACGATCTGCGCCGTCGAGGAGAGCAAACCTCCAAAGACGACAGCAAAGGATACCAGCTCATGGACATATCGCGATCGGGACGCTCTGAAAATTCCAGACCCTCATACAGCGGGCCGGATAGGAGCATCCAAGTATCGAAGAGTTGGGCAGTGCAAGTAGAACCAGTAGCCCGCATGCCGGTTACAACAATACTGCAGTAAATCTATATCTATAGTATGTAACACAGTCCAGAAAGCACAAACCAACACATGCAAAAATTGACGCGGCATTTCAGAGACGCACACCCTTGCTGTACCCTCGTTTCGCAGTGCAGGTGGCACGGCACGCAGCATATGCGCCTAGGTTTCTTCCAGCAGGTCTTCCGGATCGGGACAACTGGTGCTACGATCCTATTGGTGAACAGGCTATAGGTCAACGGTCAGGATCATTACGAGGATCATCTCGGCTACAATGTTGTGCATAAGCGGCCCTAGTTCTTCATCTATGCGGCTACTTGGTTCTAACGGCAACTCGGTTCTTTCTCTTTATCCTTCTGCTTATTCTCTCTTTCATCTCCTCCATCATCGGTCGTCTCACGAGTTCCGCTTTTATTGCTGTATCGACTTTTCACTTGTACTCGTATCGGTGGCACGATGGCGTTCTCCTCGACTAAATCCAGTGAGCCGGAACTAAATACTACAAGGCCACGTTCTAGCGACAAACACGATGATCTTGCGCTGGCGAGACTGGGGAAGAAAGCTGTGCTGAAGGTATGTATCCCTCTGCATTGATCACGAACATGGCTGATGCAAGTACAGCGTCGCTTCGGCTTCCTATCTATCCTCGGTTTCAGCTGCACCGTCTTGATCACCTGGGAAGGATCTCTTGTGTACGTCGTACTACCTCGTACTACACGTTGACACGTCGCTGACAGTTTCTCAGGCTGTTCCTGGTCGGCTTCCAGAAGTGAGTACACAGCATGATACAACACATCGACCATGAGATAGTTGTGCTGAAAGAAGCAGTGGCGGCCCCGCTGGTGTCATCTATGGCTACCTCATTGTATGGCTCGGCACCGTATCTGTGTTCATGGTGCTCAGCGAGCTTGTTTCAATGTACGTCCGGCTTGAAATCCGCGTTTTACGACGAGGAGTCAATTGCTAACCCTCCTCAAAGGGCGCCTACATCTGGTGGTCAATACCACTGGGTTTCCATGCTGGCACCAAAAAGCTCTCAAAAACTGTTGAGTTACATCTCAGGTGCGTAAACCTTAAACTCGACGATCTATATCGATAGCGTGTACTAACGCGATTTCACCGCAGGATGGCTCACTCTATGTGGCTGGCTAGCATCACTCGGGTCCGGCGCTTTCCTCACTGGTGGCCTCATTCAAGGCCTTCTCATGCTCTGCCAACCCGATACCTACGTCCCTCAGAACTGGCACGTCACTCTCCTCTATTGGGCCATCATCGCGTTCTGCGTCTTTATCAATATTGCTGCAGGATGGCTACTACCCAAGTTCGAAGGAGCGCTATTGGTTCTGCATATCCTTGGTTTCTTCGCCATCTTAATTCCTTTACTGGTTCTTGGGCCACAGGGTAATGCGAAAGAGACCTTTACCACGTTCGTAAACATGGGACATTGGCAGACTCAGGGATTGAGTTTTTGTATTGGCATCATGGGGAGTGTGTTTGCGTTTGTTGGCGGTGATGGGCCAATTCATGTGAGTGTCTTCCTACATGAGATCACTTCTAGCATCTGGCTTCCCAGCAAGACACTAACACATCAGCGCAGCTATCTGAGGAGATTCAGAACGCACAGATCGTCGTACCTCGCTCGATCATGACTGGTATCGCCATCAACGGCTCTCTCGGCTTCGTCATGATGGTCACCGTGCTCTTACGGATGGGTAATCTCGATGATGTACTTCTTGAGAACCCTGCGTTCCCTTTCATGGCTATCTTCCACCGTGCTGTTCAATCACGCTCTGGTGCCGCTGTCATGGCATCCATTGTCATGGTGCTGACCATCAGTGCGAACGTGGGCTTCTCCGCATCGACATCGAGAATTTGCTGGGCTTTTGCTCGAGATCGGGGTCTACCTGGATGGAGAACCTTGAGCAAGGTATGTATACTATAAAACCTTCCATACGAAAGAAAGGTCGTACTAACATCCACCAGGTCAGCGATCGTACATCCATACCCGTCTACGCCGTAGCCTTTACAAGCTTCATCGCCTGCCTTCTCGCACTAGTAAACATCGGATCTACTACCGCCTTCAACGGCGTAATCTCCGTCGCTATCGCCGGCCTCTTCTCCTCCTACCTTCTCACATCCTCCCTACTCCTCTATCGCCGCTGCACCGGCGCCATCCTCCCACCCAGCGAATCCTTCGACACAGACAGCCAATCCACAACCAGCGACGGCATGATCCGCGCTGTATGGGGCCCCTGGCGTCTGCCCGGCGCAATAGGCATCGCTAATAATGTCTTTGCCTGCGCCTATCTTAGCTTTGTTTTCTTCTTCAGTTTCTGGCCTAGCTTTGCGGAGGTCACGCCTGCGAACATGAATTGGGCGATTTTAGTAACGGGTACGATAGCGGTCATCAGTGCGGTTTATTATGCGGTTTGGGCGAGGAAGACGTATCATGGGCCTGTTGTTGAGATTGATGAGCGCGATTTGAGTGGGAGGGTTAGTGTCGTGGAGCAGCGTCTTGAGATGGGTAGTAAGTAGATGGGTTGAGCTTGATGTATGAGGCCTTACATGACAAGCGGCTAGAGCATTTCAATAGCGGGATGTAATGTGTCTAGTCAGAAGTCCGAGATTTTACAAAGAAGTCGTTCTTGCCGTCCTCTTCACGTGGGATTCCCGCCATAGGGCAAGTCCTGTGGCCTTCACATAACTCGCTTACTCCAATTTATCATCCACAATCTCAATCCTCACGCCATCCCCAAGTTCATCCAAGAACGTCCTGCGTATCCCCTCCCTCTCCCTCTCCCCCACACCAGAAACATCCCTCAACACAACCAGCTTCAACCTCGGCAGTCCACAAAGCATGATATATTCCCGGATCCACAACCATCTCCCCGTCGGATAATATTCATGGTCCGTTACAACCAACTCAATCCTGTTCCTCTGTCCAATCGTAAACCTGTGTAGCATGGAATGGAAACCCGCGAGTACCGTTGCGCCGAAGGTGTTATGGATGAAGGGGTAGTAGGCTCCTAGGTCACATCGGATTTGGCGGCAGACGAGCGGGAGGTTGATGGCTAGCTTCTTTCGGATGGGGTGCATTTCCCAGGTTTTTTGGTGGGGTGGGCGGCATCCTAGTCGTTTCTTCTTCTCGTTAGTGGGAAGGGTTACGAGGTAGATTTCATGGCCGCCTAGGGCGTAGTAGTAGATTTGGTTTCGGATTTCGCTGGGGAGGCGAAGGAAGGGGGATGTGAGTTGGTTTTGTGAGGCGATGGCTTGGTGGGCGGCGGAGATGGTTTTTGAGGCTCTTGGTGACATGATGGTGGTGTTGGCATCGATGAGGAAGTGGTATGGAGGAATGGGATTGAGATGTAAAGCTATATAACCCTATGTGAGAAAAACGTTCTTTTGGAAAGGACAGTCCCAAGAGCATGACCCGTGGGTGGCCAGACTCATACTTCTCGGAGTGAGTCAGTACCAAAGTATCACTACAAATCATCGAATCAACGGCTGTGTATTGGGAAGTAGAACATACATATCCGTACCCAATAGTAAGCACAAGAAGTCCACTTATCCTCTCTTCGGTACCAACGAACACCTACCCTACCCCATCTACATCTCTGTTCCATTTCAAAACTTCCTCATAGCATCATTAACTAAATCCGCCCCAAACGTCGCTCCAGCCCCATAAACCGCCGCATTCCCAAATTTGTGCGCTAGCTTACTCGCCCATTCGTGATGCTATCTTTCAGTCAGCTACCCTAACTTCCAGACCCCACTTGCAGACTTTTTCCCTCTTCTCTTTCTTTCTTTACAAACTCATAGTTTTGATGTAGCATCAGGTGTTGAATTTAAGCAAATAGAAGCATACCTTTGGATGATTCGGATTCGCCGGATGCGCCGGATCCTGCGCTTGTTGCGCAACGAGCGCGGGGTTAAATTGGTTCCCTCCATCTACATACTTGGGATCGATGTATTGGGAGGGTTGGCCGTTTGGTTGCTGGAGATACATCAGTTAACATCTGCTCTTCGTCTGCATTCATATAAACTCTCTTCTTCTTCTACTTCTTGAGCCCAATAATGAGACAAGCAGACAAGACTGGAAAGATAGGAAAGACGTAGTAGAAAGCATACGTACAGGCAATTGCGCCTGAATAGATTGCAACTGCGGCGGGGCCAAAACACCGCTTGAGACGAGATACTCCAGTTCCGTCCTGATAGTACTGATGGAGCGATTGATCTGTGCTGCGTCTGGCATTTTGATGGTATTTTTTCGCTCATTCGACTTTGAAATAAAACAGGATTGATTGATTGTAGGGAAAGCAGTAAAAAGAGTAGTAGTTCACTGCCAAGTTAATGCGTGTTGCTTGGCAGAAAGCTTGATTGAGATACGATCGAGGCGTCGATGGTGGGGGGTGGGGGATGTGCAAGTGACGTCAATATTCTAGACTGCTGGTTCCGTCCGTGGCATAGACACAGCACTTGAACCACACGAGATAGAGTTCAATGTATAACTTTCATTCAACAGCTTTATACTAGCGAGCATGATCTCGCATCTCTATACGATATACAATTCTATAGTCCTTCCCATCCAACAATATCGGAACAGGGTATTTTCCATGGACCTTTCTTTCGGGACGCCAATGACAAGAGATTTCGTAGCTATACACAACAAAGTAGAGAAGTGGTTTTGCTTGATGAGTCTTTGTTTTTCTTACTCCTTCTTCGCTTCAGCGGGCTTCTCGCCCTTGCCAGTGGGGTCATCCATCTTCAAGGCGCGCTCATCCTGTTCGGCACGCTCGGCGCTTCCACCGGCGGCATCACCAGCGCTGGCCTCGGCTTCTTTGCTCTCTTCTTCGGCCTTGGCTTCCTTCGCCTCCTGTGCGTCCCTGGCAGGCTTCTCGTCGATGTCCTCGTGGTCCTTGGGCGAGGCTGTGGCCTTGTTCTCAACAGTCTCGGTTTGCTCGTTCTCCTCGTTGATGAGTTCTTGCTGCTCCTTGAGGACCTCAAGACGCTGCTTGTTGGTTGCGGCACCTTCGGCGTTGCGGACCTCGAGATCCATTTCGTGGTACAGCTCCTCAGGGATACTGGAGAGGACGGCTTCCAAAGCATCAATTTGAGAGGTCATCTCGGTCTCCTTGCCCTGGGCGTAAACGAATGCGTTGGAGAGCACGAGAAGAGTTGATGGAACGCCGTGCTTCAGGCGGAGATCGAGCCAGCTAGTGAGGTCGTCCCGTAACCGGCCAGGAGAGACACCGTAGGTTCGTAGACCGCGGCTGGCGCAGGCAGTCTGGAGCTCGGGAACGGAGAGACTTTCAACACCTTCGTAGGCAATGGCTCGGTCGTCACGCTTGATCTGGCGCATGCGCACGCGTACCTGGTAGCGCAGGAAGTTGTCTGTACCGAAAGAGGTGATGTTCATGTATCGGCAGATGGAAACCAGCTGAGGGCGAGACAAATTGTCGAGGGTGAGGTCGTCCTTGAAAATCTTGCACACCTTGATGATCTCCTCTGGTGTTGGCTTCTCTCCCGTGGTGCGCACCTTGCGGAAGAATTCGGCAAACTCCTCTGTCTGCGCGTTCTCAGCAGAAACAGGCAGGCCAGTCTCCTTGAGTGTTTGACGAAGGAAGTCGCTAACGTCCTTTCGGGTCGCTCGGAGCGTCTGGGCTTTGGTGTCCTTGGCCGACTGACCCTCGTACGTGCTGGGCAGCATGTTGGGGAAGAGCTTGAGCGCTACAGGGAGCAGTAGTTCGGCGAAGGGGACGATAACGAAGGGCAGGAAAGGTACCAAGCGGGCCAGATCCTGTACGGTACGTTGCAACTAGGTCTGTTAGTAGAATTCACAAATACTGGCTTCGAACACGTACTTGTCGACGCTCACGGCGGGTAAGCTCGTACCCAGCTGCCATCTTGAGAGCGAGTTTGGAGCTAATCCGGACCTCGAAGCCCAGCAGCTTGGTGCCATCCCAGTAGTGGACCAATTCCTTCTTGACCTTTTGCCAGACGGTCAACTTCTTCTTCTCTGCGTCCCTTTTAGCCAGAATCTTCTTCTCGTCCTTGGACTCAGCAGCCGACTTGTCCATCTTCAGCTCGCTTAATGTTTGGACATCTTGCGCGGGTGTCTTCGGGTTGGAGGTTGCGCCAGACTTGGGAATGATGGGGTCTGATTTCTCGACAGACTGTTTTGACTGTTGCTGGGGCTTGAGGAGGTGCTGGTTGGCCTGCTTAGGGTCGAAACCAGGAGGCGGGTAGTTTTGCGCATTGTTCGACGTCGACTCGGTTTGCAGGGCGCGTAGCGGAATGAGGATGCGGATCGCAGGTGAGTTCCTCAGCATAGGGCGATGAGCTCTGGTAGTGGTCCTGATGCCCGCTCGGAATACTGCGGGCGCTGCCCTGGAGGCAGTGCGACCGGCGTACATTGCGCCGGGGGAAGTGTAGAGAGTGACGTATATAGTACAACGATTAAAGTAGTGTGGGTAGTGAATCAACAGATGAAGGGTAGAAAAGAGAAGGCTGTGTGTGTGTTGGGAATTTGATGCAAGGAGTGTGGAGTGATGCAGCTCTGAGAAAATGGGTTCCTCTGACGTTGCGTCTTCGGACTTAGTCTCAGGGACCGCCGGGCGATCTGCTGGGTAAAGCTTGGTCGCCACCAACGGGCGCATAAGCCATTCGCCTGACGCGCATCATGGTGACAGCTAGGAAGATACCGGATGGACGCATGACATGTGCGCCATGGGACGCTACAGGCAGCAACATGTGTACCTCGGATTTATACGAAGAGAAGTTGAAGGACCAATGGGTATTCTCTGTGTCGGCATATTGTCGCCAATTGGCCGAGGCGCTGGGGTCTCCGATGTCCGCAAGAACGACAGCGCGGCTTGCGAATGGCATGCCGTGAATGCTGGGCCGTCCCCTCACTCCACGCCTATCCGACGGTAATCGTCCCTCACACATCTTAACCCAGGTTCCGCGTCTGGGCACTCCATAATTCCTCCTGTCACTTCTCTCCGTACCCTAGTTCCGATCCTCCATTTCATTCCACACAATTTTCGCCATGGATTTGTTTTAGTAACTACGAACCCTCGGCGGAGCCCTCGAGCTTTATTCACCGTACCGACCTGGACTATCCCCAGCAGCATATTCCTAGAGTCGCTTCTATAGCATAAATCAGCGACAACACACATCACAACAATGACTGTCCAACGGTTGTCCAAGGCCGCCAGGATCATACTGGTCGGCGCGCCTGGCGTCGGGAAGGGAACTCAGACGGAGCGCATGATGAAAAAATTCCCTGAGCTCTCGTCAATCAGCTCTGGCGACTTGCTGAGGAAGAATGTTCGGGAGCGGACACCTCTCGGTATGCGCGTTGCTCTCTCCATACCGAAAAATGCTGACTTGTGCAGGCATACACGCCGAATCCACGATGAAGGCTGGCAAACTAGTACCCGACGCCATGATCCTGCGCCTCATCGTCAACGAACTCACGAACCGCGGTTGGATACGAGACAACGCTTTGCGGCCATATGCGCTCAACTTCAGGTCCATGGATGTGCCAGAGACGACGGTAGATGCAGTCATGATCCCCTCGGCGGTACGGGCTCCCCGCTACACCTTCTCCAACAGGCCGTCGGCTTCATTCATACTCGACGGCTTCCCAAGAACCGCCGTTCAAGCGATACAGCTCGACAACATCGTACCCATCAACATGGTAGTCAACCTCAACACCCCGAGTGACATCATCATCGATCGGATATGCAACCGCTGGGTACACGAGGCATCGGGACGTGTCTACAACACCACATTCAATGCGCCAAAGGTAGATGGCAAGGATGATATCACGGGTGAGCCGCTGACACAAAGAGCGGATGATGACCCAGAGGTGTGGAAGGCGCGGTTGAAAAACTTCAAGGAACACAGCGAGCCTCTGCTGGAGCATTACGACAAGCTTGGCGTGCTCTGGACGGTCAACGGGAACAGCAGCGACGAAATTACCCCGCAGCTTTTTGAAGAGTTCAGCAAGCGCTTCGGCGCCCATGACGATTGATGTGTTTTCCATGTCTCGGATTAGGTCTTGGTTGGTTAAAGGTCACTTACGATACCTCTGTTTTCTCTCACTAGGGTGGGCTATGTTTGGCGGCATTTCGGTGTGGACGCGGCAATTGCGCGTGTTTGTTAGACAAGTCGCACTTTCTCCATTCACTGTAGATGCTTGGTGACCCTCCATGGTTGTGGCGGTTAGCTGCACTCGTTATACACTATTAATCATTCTTACAAAGCTCGCTCACTATATCATGGTCGCTGTAAAAGAATCTCATTCGCTTTATAGGAGCGCGGACGACTTTGAAGCCATGTACGAGCGCGTCAGGAATCGTGCGCCCACTTTGGAGGGCGCTAAGGCCGGGTACCCAGCCGACGTCACCGATTCACCTCCGAGCTGTCCAACACAGCCCACGCCAACAAGCCCGCCGTACCAGTTTGACGATCTACTCGACGACCCCGAATACGACCGGATTAGCGACTTTGACGAGCTTGAGAACAGCCGCCTCATATACATCCGCGATCCGCAGGAGGTTCGTAGACGCGCAATGGCGGCCGACTTCAGCGAAGGGCGCCTGGAGACGTTTGTCGGCAGCCCGCAGAAAGAGCTGCCAGGCACACCAAACCAATATGTCTCGTACCTAGTAACTACAAAGGTGTGCCTCTTGCTGCAGCTCCACTATTCCTACGTGCTCGGGGTCTAACAAACATCCCCGCAGTCCGACTTCCAGTCCTTCCAGAAACCCGAATTCTCCGTCCGCCGCCGCTTCACAGACTTCGTCTTCCTCTGGAAACAGCTCTCGAAAGAGTACCCGCAATGCGCCGTCCCGCCGCTGCCCGACAAGCACAAGATGGAGTATGTGCGTGGAGACCGCTTTGGTCCGGACTTCATGCAGAGACGCGCCCACTCGCTGCACCGCTTCCTCAAGCGGATATCACTGCATCCAGTGCTACGGAGAGCGGCTCTGGTCATCAACTTCCTGGAGAGCCCGGACTGGAATCAACACATGAAGGGACGGTCATCAAGAGCTGCAAGCGGCTCCGACCAGGGCGGCGGCGGCTTCGTGGATGCTGTTACAGAAAGCCTCATCAACACCTTTAGCAAGATTCACAAGCCGGACCAGCGCTTCATCGAAGTTGTCGAGCGTGCGAACAAGCTCGGCGAGGATCTGAACAATGTGGAGAAGGTTACCGTCAAGGTAGCCAGGCGACAGGGTGATC